CTGCCAATGTAGAAGAACAAACATGACTTAAGAATGCGGTTTTATCGATGTTATATTGCTCTTAACTCACTCTTTTTTCTGGTGCCTTAGTGTGAGAATCAATCTAGAGCAGTTCCGTAACACTTAAGCAGCCTTTGTAATGTCTCGATGGCTTTATTGACGCTGCACTTGATGTGCGAGCTGTTAAGTCTTCACAGAGTGTTATTTTGTTCGGGAGCATGGCTTTCGGTCCATGGAAATAGCCTCTTCAACTCTTCTTTACGTAAGTAACACATTTCATGTCATGCCACTGCGATTGCTCTAAAATCTTAGGACTCCACATTGGTAGGAGCTGGAGGCAAACCTGATCCCAAAGGGCAAATATCCTGATTTTTATTGTAGAATCCTGAATCCTATCGCAACATAAAGGTGGCACCCCTGATAGTAAGAGAATCAGTAAGGATTCATAAGGATCAAGTTAAGAATGAAGTTTAGCTTTGGTAACCGTCCCAGTCACGTGTTTTGCCAGATGGTATCAATAACCAAAGCGGCAATAGTAGCTAACCACCTGGAAATGTTTGTTGCGGCGCTATCTCCGGTACATATATAAGAACTTAACTAACTTGACATGCAGTATCACCCTCATCTCTCTACTAGTTGAATGGAATTCCAACTGCTGTAAGAGTGGAGAGCATTGAAGTGAGAGTAAAGTGTTAAGGGGGATCAAGCACGAAACATTATCTTCTTGGTGATATTTTAAACCCCGTCTCTTGTTAAAGGACTCTGCTTGTAGACCAGAGCTCTTACGACTAGCGATGAGCATGCGAGATAGCCTAGTTGTAGGGCATCATCCAATCTCCAGTAATGCGATGCGAAGCGAACCCTTTCTCCCTTCCTTAATACAGTTCCCTAGCAGGACAAAACTCCTGATTTAGTGGAATTGACAGGTGTAGTTAATTATAAATAGTTTTAGCTAAACGTAACTTTGACTGATGGTGTAGCTGATTTGTGAGTATTCTTAAAGTACCAACTGCGTTGTGATGGCCGACCCGAGGGATCGGCTAAAAGGTAAGGTCAGGAAAGGCACTTATAAGAAGAAGGCTCTGTAGTGACGTAGTAGTTTATTTAGTTCTGAGCCCAATTAGGTGGGCCCTCAGGTCCCCACAGCCTGTACTTCCGCTCGAGGCATGGTCTTAGGCCATGAAGTATCCTCCGCAGCACTTCCTAATGTTAGTAATGTATTTTCTGACACGCTGCTTTGACTTCTTCCCACTTTGGAAAAGACTTGGCACGTTACAACATATCTTTTCATGCAAAATAAGGCTATAAGGAGTTGAGATGTTATTGGAAGTAGACAATCTTGCCTTTTGGACTGGAACTGAGTAAGTTGAAAGTCAGTAACATTGGAGCGAATTGGGGCAACCACACCCTTTAAAAAAGACAAAGTTTGGGCATTCAAATGAGTGAGAAAGGGTGTTTGAGCTTCATTTTCCCATTCTTTGCCGTTATTCTGATCATACGTGATCAATCACTGCAAGTTGTCGCCCATATTAACACCCACTTATGCCCAACTTCTTATCTTTTATGGTACCATACATACTGTTAGGAGCACAATTTTCAACCACCCCTGATCACAGAATAGCGCTAAATAAAACAGAGAGCGCTGATGGCTAAAAGTGGGTCATTTGGACCAATCTTGATACCATTTGATTAAGTTTGAATCTCAAAATTTGTACCCACTGAAATAATACATAATTTCTTCCATGACGTCCTTACTTACCCTTGCATTCAACCTTTTTTCTTTAGTGATTTTTCGCGTACTAATCATCATACCCGTAGAAGTAGGATGATAAGTACATTTGCTATAGTGTGGTTTAGTAGATTATGAGGGCATTACTCAATTGAGGTGTGGACAAATCTGAGACGATGAGGCTGAAAATATTGTACTGGAGGAGTATGCAACATGAGTTAGCGGAGGCACAGGATGGTACCTAATTGTGAAACATGAAAGTAAAGGAGATGAAATTATGCTAGGAAGAATAATCAGCATTGATATAAAATCGGTTGATGACATTTGTTTCACGATGGATGCTCAATCATGAGACACAAGGACATATCTCTTTTTGTATGGGTAGGGGATTTGTGCTGGCGCTCACGTGGACAACTCTAGGTACAGATCTCTGATTGGTAGGTTGAAAAGGCATTAAAAGCTAGTCTGCGACTAGACCGTTTAATCTGCTTTACACAGTAGCAACGCGTATGTTTCTTTTCTGCCCCTCTATAGTATCATTACTTGTTGCCATTTTAGTTTTATTGGATGCAATTAAATATGCATTTGAAAGATCATAGGTGCTTTACATATATCTCATTCTGATATGAACTGAGTTGGTGGTGCCAATCGGTCAAATTATTCATATACAAATTCTATTCAAAACGTTAGATTGTCCAAGAAAGTAGCGTAAACAGTTAGTTAGGCATCTGTAGACAGAAGCCGCGCAGTGAGTCAAGCGTTCAGTAATGCTGCTGAAGGAGGTCTCCTCCTGTAGAACCGCATTTCTGTAGGTCTAAGTTCGCGCTTCTCTTGTGTATGACATTCACATATGAGATAGACCAGCTGGTTGGTTTTCTGGCCGTACTAATTGACTTGTAGATTCAATCGTGACACATGAGGTTCAAAATTAGAAAAAAATACAACTTAAAATATTGCTTCTAATGCCTCGAATAAAATCCAACTTTACCGTTGACGACGGTGTTAGCAATTTATGTAACTAAAAATGATTAAAATTCCGATGTGAGGTTTAATAGTCGTAACAGATTATTTAAAGAGGAGCATCATATTTGTTCCTAAAAAGGTCGGCGAAGAAGTGAGGTGGTTTGGGGTGTGAATGGTGTGTAAGAGTTACAAAGTGCAGGTAGAAGTGGTTTAGCCAATCACCCTCTGCTGATGGCTTTATCTGAATCCAATTTGTTTCCACTCGTAGGATACCCTTTTCGAGAACTAATGGGACAATTACCACTTGGAGGTCTATCAACTTACACGGCACCAAGTTCGATAATTATTTTGCATATCTTTATTAGATATTGCCTGTGCATCTGCTTATCTAACCTTACTTTATTCTGCTATAGTTGAAACGCTTGCTGCATTGAACTCCGTTGTCCAGCCTTTGATAGCTCCCACTTTGCCGGGTCAAATGGGTTACCTTCCTTTAGCGGGATATCCACCCATGTGGAATCCGCATGCTTATCCTTATTTGGCTCCAAATTGGTATCCTCCTCAAGGGCAAATGCTTTATCCCGGAGGTCCAATAGGCTACAGTGGTACGCAACCTTCCCTTGCCGGTTCTACAACTGGTAACACGAATTCTGTAACCAGCAGTCCATACTATGGAGTGCTTTAAAGAAGTTGACCATCTAGCCACGAATATTTTGTCAGTGTTTACTTACAAGTGGGTGCTTAAAAAAAGACAATGATTTTGATATTGTTGGGGTGCTGAATTGCTAACAATTAGGAGAATGTAGACTTCATTAAAGTCAATGCAATGGCAATTTAAGCAGTATCTTCTATTTGACTGCAAATGTTAGAGCCTTCTTGAAATCTCTATCAACCTCTCGTTCTCTGATCATGCCTGTTGTTCTCCAGTCCTCATCTTCTCATCCCATTTATACAGTACTGATAAACTATTGCACAACAATAGCAAGTCTTAATATGCCTTCTTGGGATGAGGGGAATAAAGACTGCTTAGGAGTGTAATTTTATTTCCTCAAAATACCTACGCAGAGCAGAGTTGCGTTGAAAATTTTTAAACTTGATAGGACATAATTCTTAATAAAAGGGACTTTAGTATCCATGGCAAAGATTGGACTCCAGCCTTGCGGAATGTTCTTCACCCTTAGGTCGTGCCAGTGGCCTAGCATCCCTTCGGTATGCTAGAGGGTAGGAGAATTTTCCATCCAACCTTGACTTACTGGGCATTCAACGAAAACTCAAGCCGTTATAGTATAGAGGGCGATTATAAAGAATTAATCTGGTTCAATCTGCCAGGTTAAGCTTAAATCGGTTCTTTTTCTTGAGATTTAGTTGGTCGCAACTAATTCACAATCCTGCAATCATATTTTTGCACACAAAAAGGGTTTTAAAGAGTAAGTTGGAGAGGGTGAATGTGAACTTTGCCCCAAATATTGACTAAAATGTAGTGAAGTGTGGCGACCACATATTTTAAAAACTATAAACTGCAAACAATTGGATTTAATGATAAGACTACACAAATTATTTTGCCCTATGAAAACTTGATTGGAGATGTTTGGCTGAAGTGGGAAGGGTGTTTTGTCCCTATCTTCCCCTATTTATACAAGTTCATTGGGCTTATTCCGATCTCGAGGTGATCAAGACACTAAGCTGGCCGGATCATTAGAGCATTGTACAAACCCATGGCAGCCTTTTACGAACCGAAAAGTTTGAAAGACTCAAAAAACTCAAAAAAGCACGTTTGTTTTAATAAAGCTTGTCAAGTTTTGATCCTTATTACGGTTTTATGAGAGAGTAATATATATGTATATATATATATGTAGCTTGCTTGAATGAGGCAATGTGATCTGAAGTAAGGCAGAGTTTTATGATAATAGTTAGAAGATTAATAATTTGTTTAAAATAAGGCTGATAGTAAAGTGCTATAACTGCCTTAAATGTTAGGACTTATTTCGTACTGTGAGATTACTACATGGGCGCTAGACAATAATTGTTAAATAAATCTGGTTCCTCAAAGCATTTATTTGATTTTCTATGTGGCTTGTAGCCTGAATTAGGTCTGACGTCTGTGATTCCAGATAGGCGACTTTATGCATTTAATCTCATTTTTAAAGGCGTGAATGTCTCGCCAGAAATCCCTTTTGAATGGCGTTTAGAGAGGGCACGACAAGTAAATGTGAAGCTAAAAATTAAAGTACATAATTTGATGTGGATTCGAGGGTGGAAAATTTAAACGTTTTCTACTTTATCATTTGTGTTGCATTTTAATGTCCTCCACCGCCTGTCCAGCTATTATTCAATTGTTGGAAACGTAAAGAGAGTTGGCATATCTTTGCATAGCCAACTGAGTAGCTAAATGCTGGAAGTGGCCTAATTGTTCAAGTCTGGTTTGTCCATGTTCATCAGGTGCCTACCCGCAGAACACGAAATCGGAATTATGGTAAAAAATGAGTGCGGCTCTGATGAGCCTTGAGTCAGCACGGCTCCAGTTTGCCCACAGCAGATGACCAACTCAAGAAAGGATTGTTGTTTTTTTAAGCCGTAGAACCTCGGTTCACCTCAGATTTCATAGTAAAGCATGCAATCATAAGGAAGGCGTTGGCCATTAGCCTTGAGTAGGGCTGGGCGGCCACAAATGCAGGTGACGGAGTCCAGGTAACCAAACGCAAGAGCTACTAAATACCACCCCACGACACATTCGCGTTATTAATAAAATATATTTTCTTCTATGGAATAGAATGTAAGACTCTCAGACAACAGTTGCAAAATTTTTTAGGCTGAACAAGGTGAAAACGACTTCAGCATCCATGTCTTTTCAGAGCACCTTATTATTACTTACCCGTTTTTAGTGGTACTCTGCAAGAGACCTCGATTTGACATTATCAGCACTGTGGTGAGATGGGGAGTCGATAAAATAACCTATTAAAAAGCAAAAAACTATTAAGCTGCTTTGATTTGCAAGGAACGGAAAAGGAAACAACACGAATGCCATTAAAAAGAGCTTACAGTTAAAATCATAACTGTCTCTAAATTATTTATCATGGGTTGGGTGTGCTACTTATAAGTAAGTGAGTAACAGTCCTTTTACTGAAGTATATGTCAAAATCTATGGCAGAAGAGTACTCAAATCACCTCTTTAAAATATATTAATATGAACTGGTAATTAAAAATGACGTTTTTGAACGACTTCTCGCCGCATCTTAAGCATTGGTTATGCTTTTTTGGTGTCCAGTCGACCAACACACCACTATTCACCATTGATGTGAGTCGATGTAAAGCAAGTGAATTTTGAAAGAATCAGTAAATAATTTGTAGCCCAGAAATTGAGACACATTGCACAATTTTCTCCTTTCGACCATCGTTTACATCAAAACAGGGTTTGTTGGAGAACAAGCAAGTTTTTTGCACATTTCTTTGGTCTGTTTTAAGTTTTTGAACTCTAAATCCGACTTCAATCGAGAAAAGTGAGAAAGTGTCACTCAACACAAAGGTAGTTTCTTAAGTACTCCATTTCCTTTCCTTTCCCCTGTCAATCCTTTTAAAATCTTTTAGTCTCGGTAAGGATGGTAACTTACTACATTGTACTCATCGGCAATCTCCTTCCCCAAGGTACGTGTAAACGCTCTGCAAAGGACGTACAAATCTACTAAGCTGGAGTGGAACGCCTAGCACCTGTAAAACAGGACATGATAAGCCTTAAATAAGAAGAGACTTTAAGCAAGTCAAAAGGACTTAATAAGAGGCACGTTTTGGCTTTGAACGATAAAACACTGCAAGGGTGTTTAGATTCAAGTGCCGTAATTCCAGCACACTGCTTAGGATTAAGTTCCTGATTTGGTAAAGGATCTGCTAAAATTAAAAATGGAAATAATCCGTTAGTAATAAGTGGCAAAAGTTTGGATTAAAATATGTGAAACGTCTTGAGAAGTCAACTTTAGAAACGAATAAATGATAGATTTTGCAGCGTGTTCTAGAAATCGACAACATGAAAAAATGACATTCCATTTTAAAGTTTAAGCAGAAAGTAAGATCAAAAGGAAGAGGAAAATGCGTTAAGTGTAAACAAGATTACTTAGGCTCAACCTCTAGC